TTGTGTGATGTTTTCTAGTGCACTGATATTTTGACGATAGTGATCGGGTAGGTTCCACACAAGTTAATTGTTGTGTGATGTTTTCTAATGCACTGATATTTTGACGAGAGTGATCGGGTAGATTCCACAGAAAAAAATATGCTTGTCAGAAAACGTTATTCGGGAGTAAACCTGAACTCTTTGATCTTAACTGAGTTCTAAAAGAAAGAGACTGGACACAATGTAAAACAATCTTTAGTTTATTCACAAAAAGAGTCAAAGAGACAGTTTTATTTTTCTAACAAGGTGATTGACCTTTGGAACGGGTTGCCTTCACATGTTGTAAATGGAGATAGTTTAAGGCAAAGATTGATAAATTGTTTGTTTGTTTGTTTGAAGTTAAGCACAGAGCTACACAATGGGCTATCTGTGCTCTGCCCACCACGGGTATCGAAACCCGGTTTCTAGCGTTGTAAGTCCGCAGATATAACGCTGTGCCACTGGAGGCAGATTGATAAATATTTGAATGATATGGGTTAGCTTTGAGTTTTTTGCTTTTGTAGTGTTTAGTTCAGTTTAGTAGATTGGATGGCTTAGATGGATCTAAAGGTCCCTTGTTGTCCTTGAATGTTAAGACAAAAAAAGCGCATTTATGGCGCCTTTACTAGAAAACTCTCATATTATCTGCTTGAAATCTGTGAACATCTTGTAAGGATCTGCTGTATACGGTGAAAATATAGCATTGTACACACAGAACAATAATGCTATTTCGTTCTAAGTCATTAAATCACGTAACTTTTGGTCATTCCCATCGATAAATAATCGAGGTTTTATTTACAAAGTATTACTTGACCCGCCAGTGGATTACATTCTACATTACAAAAAATCTCTCTCACAAGAGAGCGCACGTGATACAATAAGTGAACGACCCAAAACAATATATAACTATGGCGAAAAGAACTAGCTACTACGTTAAGCAACATTCCGAGTTAGAACTGCATACATTGTAAGTACAACATTTTGGAAAATTAAATAAATAAGGGTGGAAAATGCATAGTATATTTGCATACCATACGTGCACGCACATTTATGTGAGTGTTTTGGAATTTCTACGCAAAATAACTTGACTGTTGATAAATACATCAATTTTTGAAATCTAAGTAATTCTGAATTTCCAAATACTCGCTGTCAACATCTACATCTTTTTAAGTATAGCGAAAAACTATGTGATAAAGCTTTACCACTAAACATGAAAATCTGCAAAGGGGTAAACTGTAATGACTCAAAATATTTTCTGAATTTTGCTGTAAGAAATACGTGAGAAGAAAACAATGTAACGAGATGTAATAATGACATACAGTAAGAATTGCGAACGTTTTTTTTCTTCGTGTGTGTGTGTGTGTTATTTGATTTCAGGAAAATAAATCGTAACTTTGTAGCTATAACTAATTTCTTTTATAAGTCCATTTTCTTCTAAATCTTGTTTATTGTCTGGTATTGTTGCAGTGGTATCTAAGAATTTGAAATGATAAAACGTTCATCTCTTAGTATAACAAGTATTTACTTCTCTGTAGAGGAAATTTGATAAACTAGTTAATTTCTCAAACTTCTCGTTTTTTGTTTTTGTTTTCATTTTACTGATGTTAATACATTATACACCATGATAATATAACTAATCATCCTGTAAATACCCGATTTCAATTTAATCTATTTTTTGTTACCTCAAAGTTGAAATTTAATGCTACTGACTATATAATTGTGGATATGGAAGTCAAAATTATTCATAAAATATACCAGATTGGCTTAGCCTATTATTATTCAATCATCTCCGCGTAAGTCGTATTTATAAAATATATGTATTTCATTTTGCAGGAATGCTGTACCAGATAATATATTTCGGGCAACATTTATGCAAGTAAGTTACTTCATAATATATTATTCTTAATATTTTCTAATCATTTGGTTTTAAATAGTTTCTTAAGTAAATAGATGTAGAAAGTGTATCTCTATAACTGGTACAAGTGCCTTCAAAAAACAGCTGGCTGCATGTTATAACTGTTTATCGTAAATTAGTATTAATTAGAAGATCCTTGCCGAAAATCTCAGTGTTGATGAGCACAGAGAGCCCATTGTGCAGTTTTGAACTGAAACCAAAACAAACAAACCGTAGCTAATGTAAACGTTTGGGTAACCGGACACTGATTTATCACCATGCTAGCTTCAATACAAAACATCCTAAGCTTGATTTATGTTTGTGCTCTTTTCCAGCAAACATGGCTTTGAGCTTGATTTATCCTCATTCTTGTTCAATCAAACGTGCCTCGAGCTTGATTCATCTTCATTCTGATGTCAATCAAACGTGTCTTGAGCTTGATTCATCTTCATTCTGATGTCAATCAAACGTGTCTTGAGCTTGATTTATCTTCATTCTGGTGTCAATCAAACGTGTCTTGAGCTTGATTTATCTTCATTCTGGTTCAATCAAACATGTCTTGAGCTTGATGTACCCTCGTTCTGATGTCAATCAAGCATATGCTAAGTGTGGTTTATCCTCGTACTGATGTCAATCAAACTCAGCCTAAGTTTAATTAGCCACATTTATATTAAGTTATCCTCTATTACTGTTGATCACAAGTCCTTGTACTTGTTTAAACTTTTTAAAAGTGCTTATGTTTGATTTTTTACATTTAATTGCAAGCAATGTAGAAGCAAGCATATTAAAAATAAGACTAAATTTATATTTAAAAAGTAAAACTATGCCGATTAGCTACTTTGATGAAAGCTACGTTTGAATAGAAATGGAAATATATAACCCAATATCCAAATAACTTGTGCTTAGTATAAGAGCATCAAAAAGTATCTTTACTTGTGTATAGAATCATTAACTGCGTGCTATATTTTATAATTCCTTAAGTAACGTGATTGTTTTATAAAGATATATCGTTATGAATCAGGTTGGATAATTTGCATAGTTCATTTGTAAAAAAAATGTAGATTTCGCTTTTTCCACCAAAATATAACCAACTATTTCAGAATAATATCTAATGTTTAATTTTCAGAGGATTGAGAGTAATTTGTTATAATTATTGTTATTGAAATCTATTGTTTTAAAGCTCTTTCTGAGCTCTGTGCGTGTTTTTCTTTTCCACCAATATTTTTTAAATTATTTCTGCTGGTCGGTGTTTATTTTATGTAATTACGTAATTAGTTTCTTATCAACCTGGTTTTAGAAAATGAAATTAAAATATACTTCCAGTTAAAATTGATTTGGCAGTTTTACAGTATTATTCGAGAAAAACTCTTCAAAATAATTAATTCTAATTTTTAAGTGTTATTTTTTTTTGCTTTTTTTTAACACTCATCGTATTGATGATGATAATATATTTCAGGACATTTTTGTTACGTAGATAACATAACCGAAATGATATTTTTTACTGTATTAAAATTTCATACTTATTTACTTTGTCATACTTTTCAGGAGGCAACTGTAATGAAAAAATCAATTGAAAAGTCACACGAAAACAGCGCTAATACTTCCAACATAACTGATGAAGATTTGCAGAATGATATTTACACGAGACATGTTATTTACGCCAATGGTTCTAATTACATTGGTAAGGATATTTTGAGAAAGTTGTGATGACGAATAATGGGGAATAATGTTGCCCAATATTACAAAGACATTGTACTTCTTATACCTTTACAAAAGTTTATATTCGATGATATATTTTTAGTAGAGTAAACCCAGTGAGAGCGAAACGAAAGGTTTATTTTAAAACGTAAACTACAACAAATGGCTGATAATAAATGAAACTTAATAAAAAGTCAACCTGGTATGGATCAAGGCACACTGTTTGTTGTATACAAAAAATATGTCTTTCATCATTGCCTTTTTGAATTTCGTTTTAATACCTTCTTTTACTTAAACGTGGTACCAGAATAGTCAAGTGTATTTGAAATACTTATTGGAACATTTCAAACTGAACACACTTGTTATTTTGAACTGAAATACTTCAAAAGATGGAGATCAGAAATACAGTTATTAATTCAAAATTTGGACATTTTCAAGGTACAAACTATACACTAAATTTAATACGTACTTCACAATAAAGAGCTTACATATAGTAACACATTATATACTGATTAGTCACATTTTTAGGGCCCCTAAGCAGATTTTAGACCACTCCATTTGTTTTTCATTACCAAATGAACTGATCACGTGATGTATCAAGTGAATGTTTGAGCCATATACATTCGGAGGAGGATGCAGCCAGTAAGATATATAGTTGCGCTTTGATTAGGCGTGTCATCTTTATCCCAGACTGTAACTTGGTCGATAAATTGAAGAAGTGTATCAAAGTATATAAACAATTTAAGTCGGGAAGTTGAAAACCTGTAATAAATAATAACTGTACTTGCCAAATGTTAGCGATAGGCAGAAGGCAAAGACGAGTGAACACTCGTTGAACTCTCTAAATTCTTTTTGTTTACTATATATATATATATATATATATATATTATAACGATGTGATTTTTATCTGTTGTATGCATGTAAAAACGTTTTTGTTTTTTTTCCTGTAGCCTTCTCCAAAATGTGCGATATTAGTATTACCACATTTTTTGACACCATTAGACTCTGACTAGAGTTGGGCTGTCTTATATATTGCATTCCTTGTTCCTGGACTGGACCATGGAGATGCAAGTCATTGAAAACTTGACTAAGGAAAGCTTAGAGTTGTATCACTTTCCTCATTAGGCAGTGTCTAGTAGATTAGAAGGCAAAATATAGTTACGTTTTGTGGGTAAAAATATACTCTGTTGTTGTGTTTAGTGCGATTCGAGTCATTTTTCATTAATAACAGTGCATTATAACGAACAGCCCAAGCTAGCAGTTGGTGGTGGGTGGTGTTGACTAGTTGCCTTTCCTCTAGTCTATCACTACTAAATTAGAAACGGTGAGCGCAGATAGCTCTCGACTAGCTTTGCGCGAAATTCAAACCAAACAAGTCTAAGTCAGATTCAAATGTTTTTTAGCACGATAGAGGGACAAATGAATTTTTACAATCTATATAATACGTCTTTTGAATATCTAGAATATTTGCTGTCTTTGACATTTTCCTTGTACAGAGGTTTCAGTACTTTATATTATAAAGATTTCGGAGCCTCACTTCGTCGTTATAGTCCATAATACCACGTCATGTCATGCTCTGTTTGACTTAAAAATAGCTCTGCGGAGTAGTTTCCATTGCAAAAGGTTCCATGTTAAAGCTGCCATGTCCCAAGCATACTATTCCTCCTTGCATGCTTCCTAAAATTTATCTACTCTACGAGGATGGTGGTTTTTCAGAGCCCATTTCAAATGTGCAGTCGCAGATAATTTGTAGGCGTTGCTTTCTGCGACTCGACCGATATGTTTTTGTGTGGAATAGCATGGTTACCTGTCCGTTTCATTATTCAGCTGCTTAAGGTATGCGAGGGTTGAACGGAACACACGACTGAAAGCCTTATCGTGGTGAACCAACACCCTGTTAGTCTCGTTTCCAGGGGCTTGTGGATGATTTTTGCCACTGATTTTTGTGTTCTTGGATTCTCACCTCTTACAAAATGCCATACTTTGTTCACGGCTGGGGTACCATTTGTTGTATGTCTTTTTCTGGATGGTCGTGATACCTCAAGTTAATCCATATACCTTTGTTTTCTAATGCCATTAAGTATAATGGATATACCCACCTTTGAAATCCCCAAACTGAACCAATCTTTATGATCATAGTATATGCATATTTTGTATTTAAAAAGAGTTGTTACATATCTTTCCCAAAAGCGGTAGATTTTCGGTGGCGTACTACCAACTATGCAACAATAAACATTGTCAAAGTATAGCCCTTATACATCCTTTCGAACACGACTTTATATCGGCTGTGTTTATCACGTGACTTCCTGATCTGCGTTTTCAAATCGTTTTAATATAACGTACTCAACCAGCTGCATCATTGAGTTGGTCATTTTCCAGGTATGAGCTATTTGTTCTTTTGTTACCTTATACCAAGTTCTTGAATTATAAGCTAGACATACTTTATATTATAATCTCGTACGAGCTGCCTTTTGATAAACCAAACAAGTTAAACTACTAACAAATTGAAAATGTAAGTTCTATATGAATTATCTAGATGATCACGTTGAGGCATATTCATAGTGAAAAAAGTTGACGAAATAAAAGCAACTTTGATCTTTAAAAAATGATATGAGCAGTTAATAATGGATGTACTATGTAATCTGTGTTTCTATAAATATGCAAATGAATGTTTGTCTATTTTTTCAGGTTTGCTCTTGTTTTCTGTTGTTTTCGCATGTGCAATCATCTCACTTGGTGAAAAAGTTACTCATCTCAGGCTGATCATCGAACAGTTCAATGAAATCATTATGAAAATGTTAGAGTTTCTTTTGTGGTGAGATATTTCTGTTTATGTGAGACGCATTTGAGGTAAAAATTTAGATCAATATTTCTAATACATGTAAAAATTATGAAGTTAGGCATAGCTCGTTTTCTCCACATTTAATGTTTACAACCCTTCTCATATTTATCTCCTACTGTTTAGTAATTTTAAAGCCATTATATTTTACTAGTCAAATAATGCTACAAATCACGGACATATCTGTTATTTGTGACTGATGCTTAGTGGCTAGTAGTTAACATACCAGTATGCGGATCACAAAACCCAAGGTTTGAGCCACTAAACAGACTCCACGTTTTCATTTATGGTGGTGGTGGGGCTATAAATATTCCTGTCAATCCTTACTATTCGGTTAAAAATAACCACGTGGTATTCCCATGTTCGAGATGAACCAAGCACAGATGCCTGATCTTCAGAGCAAGAAGTTCGAAAATCAAGTGTCTGGAAAGACAAATGTAGTTGAGGGAAGAATAAAAGAGGCAAGACACGATACTTAGGTGAGATAAAGTGAAGCATTTATTTACAAGGTAAATAGAAGGTGAAATGGACCAATAACTGGTCGGTCGAGTCGCAAGGAATATTACGTTGTAATGATTTGAAATGAAAATTTATGAAAGTAGAACAAAGCAAACTGTATATTTACAAAAATAAAATTGTATTTATAAGACTAGTAGACTGCTTTTATGGTTGAAAGGCAAACTAAAACATGCATGATCAGTAAGTAAAACAAGACACAGGAACAAAGATGAGACTTCTGTACAGGTCTGTACAGGTGGTGATGACTAGCTGCCTTCCCTCTAGTTTTACACTGCTAAATTAAGGACGGCTAGCGCAGATAGCCCTCGTGTAGCTTTGCGCGAAATTCATAACAAACAAACAAACTTGAGCCTTATAGATTTCTGTGCTGGACCTTTGACCTATGTGCCGCGTATTATCCTGTTTAAGGTTGAAAATACTAATACCGATTGATGCCAAACATTACTTATGAATCGCTCCACTGGTTATGTATAAGTTATGAACTCACTTTAAATTACACTTTATCGCACATTATGCGCATCTTAAACGACAGTTATAATTTATTAATTTTATCTTTCAATATCATTATTATTATTATCGTATTTGAGCACAAACGGTTTTAGTGTTATTCAACGAAGCATTTGAAACATTAACTTCGAAATGCCTATTTTTTTTTTATTGACAATAAAACATATCGTGCTTTAAATGTTCGTATATGACATACTCAAGCCAAAATTCATTTCTATAAAAAGGTTTTAAAGTTAACCTTGGCAGTTTTACTGAAATTGCTGTTCTGTAATAAAACTTAATTTTCATTAATTTAAGGTCCTTATTGTTGGGTATGTTCTTCTGGATGTGTGAAGAAGGCTTGAAGACACAATCGGTAGTCAACATTTTTCATCGACTGTTGTGGTTTGTCGTAACTGTCTTCGGACTCTACGTGCTGTATCAGCTGGTCATACTACCATTTCTTTATCTGCTCATTGTCAAGAAAAATCCGTTCCCCTTCTATTTAAACCTTCTACCAGTGTTTCTCACAGCCCTAGGGACGTCGTCCAGGTTAGTTGATCGTTCTCTAATAGTACGCTACGTGTTAGTTTTATTTAAATAGAATGTTATAATAATAATAACAATAAGCGATATTCAACTTTTTTAAACTAACCAATTGAAGTCTTTTATTCATTTTTTGTTTCTTAAAATTAAGCTTGCACGCAAGTTATGCGAATATGATATTTTAATATATTAACAAATTTGCAAACCAATAAATCGTTCCCTAACTGTTGCACGGTAAAAATTACTTCATTGTGATATTTATAATAAGTAATCTCTTTATTAATCCAAGATCGTTTATACTAAATCATTTTTATAGAGATCCGGGCGTGGCCTAGTTATTAGTTTACTGGTCTTTAAATCTAGGGATACATGGTTCGAGTCTTGTTTCAACAGACTTACGCCCCACACTTAGGGGCCGTAGGTGCGTTATGAGAGTGACGGTCAAACTTCACTATTCGATTAGAATAACTCAAGCGTTGCCAGAGCGTGCTATTGACTAGCTGCCTTCCCTCTAATATTTAGCCGAGCACATTCCAATGATTAGCGTGTAGGAATGTGGATCTGAGATTCCATGGTTCGCGTTTCGTTACTGCCAAAAAACCGCTTTCCACAGTCTAGGGCCGTGGGTGCGTTATTAGAGAGATGATAGAACTTCAAAATTCGGTCTGATAAGAGCAATCCATTAGTGGGTGCTGTTGACAACTGCCTTCCCTTTAGTATGTCGTTTGAAAATTAGAAACGGCTAGCTCAGATAGCTTTCGTGTAGCATTGCGCGAAATTCAATAATCAAACCCTCTAGCCAATCAGTTCAAAATTATGAGATTCTACTGCAGTTAGCCCTTGTGTAGCTTTGCACGAATATCCAAAGACCAATCAACCATCTTTTCCTTACTTCAACATCGCATTGCTCTCCTCTCCGTCAGCTTATAATAACATATGCAATTTAATGTTTTCTCATGAGAAGAAAATCGCATGTATTGACTGTTGAATAGGTACTGTTGACTGCTTAGCTACGTCTTTTAATGTAGACAACATAACTTATTACACGGTAGATGTTCATAATTTTATTTATCCTTGTAAGATTGCACGTAACTCTTCAGTGACATAGGAAGTGGGGGGCACCCCCACACTTTTCAATCCATCCCATTGAAAATGAATCAAAATTAGAAAACGCACTCTCAGGAAAAGCAGGAGAATGCATAAAATTTAATCCAGAACCCAATAGCTTCCAGGGCCTCATAAGATGAACCCTGGACCCCGTCCTAATGGGTGGGCCTGTGGCGCACATTCTCTCGTTTCGTTTGATAAAATAAACCACTTTTAATTTGCCTCCTATACCTCTACTCTTGGACTATTAGCTTAGAAAACGATTAGATAATAATAAAATAAAACTCAAAGGGATGTCTAATATATGTACAGCCTGCTGTTTACGACACGTAATTACAACCTTAAGATTAGAGGAATAAATGAACGAAAGTACAGCTTTCATTTAAATCACTAAAAACGCTACCGAGAATAATAATAATGCTGAAAATGTGTTTTAATTCATTTTATCAGTATACCTACAGTTCTGTAGGAGCGCAGAGGATAAAGAGAAGTAGTGATACAAAATAAATATATATAAATAGTGCCCGGCATGGCCAGGTGGATAAGGCGCTCGACTCACAATCTGAGGGTCGCGGGTTCGAATCCGCATCCCACCAAACATGCTCGCCCTTTCAGCCGTGGGGGCGTTATAATGTGACGGTCAATCCCACTATTCGTTGGTAAAAGAGTAGCCCAAGAGTTGGCGGTGGGTGGTGATGACTAG